TTTTGCTGGGAGATTGCAATTGATCAACTCTGTTATACAGGGTATTACCAACTTCTGGTGCTCTATTTTCATTTTACCCAAGGCAGTCATAAAGGAAGTGGAGAAGATTTGTGGTGCTTTCCTATGGAACAATTCTGTTCTCACAGCTAGAGGGGCTAAAGTAAATTGGAATACAGTCTGTTCCCCAAAGCAGGAGGGTGGGTTAGGCCTCAAGAATCTAGTGCAATGGAACCAGGCATGTATTCTTAAATTCATTTGGCTGCTGTTTTCAAAAGCAGGGTCTATTTGGGTAGCATGGGTTCATGAGTACTTGCTTAAAGGCAGAAGTTTCTGGACTATTAATCTACCAGCTGATGCATCCTGGGGGTGGAGGAAAATTTTAAATCTACGGCAGCTAGCTAGGCGATTTATCCAACATGTCCCAGGAGATGGCAAGGATATATATGTCTGGCATGATTTTTGGCACCCATCTGGTCCATTGCTGGAGGTCTATGGAACTTCCATTGTTCGAGATGCGAGACTTCCTTATCAGGCAAAGTTGGCTAGTGTAATCAATGGGAGTTTTTGGCAATGGCCTCCTGCTAGGTGTCCCCAATTGGTACAAATACAAATGCATCTCTTTGATATCTATCCTCAAGAAGGAGAAAAGGATACTGTAGTTTGGGTGCCTTCTACATCTGGTAGCTTCAAGATCGGACAGACTTGGCATTGGTTGCGAAGGAGACAAGATAGGAAAATATGGCATCGATTGGTTTGGTTTTCCCAAGCTATTCCTAAACATAGCTTCATTAGTTGGCTAGCTGTGCTTAATCGACTAAGCACAAGGGCAAGGCAGAAGCAATGGACCCCCACAATTTCTGATACCTGCATCCTTTGCAATGGCAGTCCAGAAACAAATGAGCACCTCTTTTTTAAGTGTAGCTACACAAGACGAATATGGCAACAGCTTAGCTCTATGCTTGGTATCCCGTTTGCTGACTCTTGGCAAGTTTTATTACAATGGATGGGTAAAAAACTCAGAAGGAAGTCTTTACACAATTTGCTAATCAAATTAGCTTGGAATGCAGCAATCTACCACACATGGTTGGAAAGAAACAGAAGGTTTCACCAGCAACTTTTTAAGGTAGAGAGCATGATTGTTCAAGACATTCAATTTGAGGTAAGGAGCAGGATTTTGGGTTTTTCTCAGCCAAACTCTTCTCTCCTACCCATGGGGATTGCATGCAAATGGGGTCTTGAAACAATTGTGAAACATTAACCTTTGTATTGTTTGTACAGTTTTAATCATTCTTTTTGACAGTTTCTTTTGCTTTGTAGCAGCTTATTAGCTGCTTTATTGTACAAACAGTTATATTGGATAATAAGATTTACATTTTATCCAAAAAAAAAAAAGATCTTATTTAAAAAAAATCAAACTTTTTCTATTCAAATCAATATGTCATTAGTAATTAATATTATTTTATATAAACTCACATTTTAAATATTTGATTTTTAAATAGAACTCCATATGTATTTAAACAAAGTTTCTTAAAAAGCATAACAATATTAATTTGTTCAACTTGAATAAAAAATTTTGAATTAAAAGAAACAAAGAAAACCAAATGACAATGATCCAACCACTACCCATTATACATGCTCTAATAAAAATGGACGAAAGTACAAATAAAAACCTATGTGTTATTATGTAAATTACCACATGCTATATAATTACATTTAAAATCTTTTAAGATTTTAAAAAACTATAAAAGTTCAAATTTAAAAAGTTTAAGAGTTTGGGGTTCCACTATGGTGGAACAACACTATTATGGTGGTCATTATATCATTGCGCCTCTTCTTCGTTCATTACTAAATCTTAAAGTGCACTTTTGATGATTTTTTTTTGTTTTTTTGTTTTTTCATATTATTTTAAAAAGTCTTAATTTACTTTAAAACTTTAATAGAAAAAATTTAAGATACAATTTATTTTTGTCATGTGGTGTCTATGATCTGTGTGCTGTCATATTAAACTTAAATTCACTGTCTTTTGATTTTTTACGTACTAATACCATATTGATGGAAAGACAATCTTAAAAACAAGTTTCCATAGTTTCTTGACCACTTTGGGATAAAATAAAGGTTTTGGACCAAAATGATATAACCAATAGTTCATTGACCATTTTGAAACAGTTTTTCATAGTTTCTTGGTTCAGTTTTCTTTCGAAATAACAAATTTACCACGCAAAATTTCAAAAAAAAAAAAAAAAGGAAGTTTCCTCAAGCATCTAGATAAATAAAAATTAGTAAAAGGAAAGGAAGAGAAAGGCTGATATTAAACTTGTTTAGAAAATCCAAAGTAGAAGAAAGAAAAGTATAATATTTTTATTTAATTAAATAATTTTAAAAAATAAAATAAAAATATTTAAAAGTTATTAATAAAAAATTAAAATAAAATATTTTTATATATTTGTTTTTAACAAAAAAATTAAAAATATTAAATACATAAATTAGATCTTTTATAATTTTTCTAATTTAGAAAGATGAAAAACAGAAGAGTGAAGGGAGTTCCATTCACCCCTTTATCCCCCATCCTTTTTATTAATAAAACAAGAGTAATAATAAAGATGACGAAAATTTGAAATTAATAATATAGTTTAAATTAATTGATACATATAATATTATGAGTTTTTAAAACATATAAAAAATAAAAATAGTTAATTATTAAATAATAAATAATTTATTTTTTAATATTTTAAATGACATAACTTATATTATGTCATTAATCCTAAATTT